CACTTTATACAGCAATTCACCTGGTAGAAACTAGACAAGAGGCAGTTCTAAAACTGAACAGGAGGTCTTCCTACATTTTGACCCTCACATACTAGCAAGTCACCTCCTTTTTCATCACCAACACCATCATATATTAATTATTTACACTCAACACACCATACAAAAATAGAAAGGAAAGGTCTCTGTACACAGGCTCTCAGTCTAAAAAAAGTATATGGCTGGTGCATGTAGTGTAGCTACCTTGCCCATAATGATGGTACTGGAGGAGTTTTAAAATAAACAAATGAGTCCTGAATCTCATCCAGCAGAACCATCAAACAAGTGACATGCTTAGAGAAGAAGTCACACCCAGCCTCCATTTCTGGTTTTACACTGAAAGTCATCATCATGAGTGATAACACTTTGTGGATGTCAGTAGGGACACCACCTGCAGTTCTATTGTGGTTGGAGGTGTGAGCTGATGGCAGCAGGACACAACTGAGATCCCCTTGGGTACCAGTGCTAGGTGTATCTAGACTGCTCTTGTGGACCTCAGCATGGATCATGAGAAACATAGGAAGCTGCCTTATACTGAATAAGGCCATTAGTCTTCTTAGCTTAGTATGGTCCACACGATCCAGCAGTGATTCTCCAGGGTGTCAGATAGGGGTCTCTTCCAGGTCTACCTGTACAGGTCTACTTGAACTTGGAAACTTCCACATGTGAGAAAGACGTCTGACTGCAGCCTTTTGCCTTCTGTTTATGATGGATGTCTGCCACAGTCCCTAGGTTTTCATTTTCAGCAATATTTACTGATGAAAAAAAGATTAACACAAATCCCTGGATGTTTGGGTTGGTGTTTTTTTTTAAAAATAACAAAATCTGTTTGCACAGGTTTTTCTTTTAACTTCTTCTTGGTTGTTTTGCTTGGGGTTCTGGGGTGACTTGGAATAATGTGACAAAATTAACTTCTCAGCAGAAGGCAAATTATTCTTTCTTTCTTTCTTTCTTTCTTTCTTTCTTTCTTTCTTTCTTTCTTTCTTTCTCTTGGCTTTGCTTTGAAAAGATACATTTCCCATTCTTCCCTGTGGCTCCTCAGCAACTCTGCCCCATCCCTAAACGGCCTGCTTTTCTCTTTGAATGCCTCCTGACCCTCATCTTCACACCCGTGCCATTGTTGCAGCTTCCTATGGTGTTTAATAAATAGACTGCCTTCTGACGTTGATACTCATTTGATTCTCACAGCTTCATTCTGAGCACATAACTAGTCATTATGTGTTTTGTTATTTATATTCCACATTGACCAGGTCTAAGACTCAGAAGTATGTCAAATTTCACAGAAAGAACAGAAATGTTCAAATCAGGCGTGCTCCTGCGTGCACACACATCTAACTCTCAAAAACCACTGGCTGGTATACCCCCAGTATGCTATTAAATAATAATTTCAAATCTCTCTCAGGCTGATGGATTGCTTCCACTCCCCCCAAAATGCATTAAGTTCTTGGGGGTTCTATTTTATATTTTATGGCATCAATTTTAAGTTTACAAGTGTCCCTTGCTGCAACAAATATTTCTGTGCTGAGTGCTTCTGTTCAGAGTTCCAGCTAGCCACGCTCGCTTCTCAATTACTCCATTTCATCCACCTCCTCCTGTTTTTTCCCTCCTTTCTTCTCCAACAGCCAGTCAGTTCCAGAGCACAATTGCTCTCATACTGAAGTTGTGGCTCCTTGCAAATTGGGAATAAACATTGTGTGGTGCTTGTAATAGCGCCAGTTCTTCAGATCTAACAGGTAATACTGCCCAAGTGCATTTTCATGTGTTAATGGTTCCACAAGCCACCCTCTCTGAACATTTTTGGATTGGCTCTATTATTGTGAGCCTGAGGTGAGAGCAAACAGGAGTGAACCCCTGAGCAGTAGGAGTCGTGTCTGTGATGGGTATTCTTATGTTGTCTGAGCTGTGCATGTCCACCATTATGACTCTCTTGGTTTGCGCTATCAGTACAGGTGAAGCAACTTCCAGTAGTTGAGAACTACCAGAAGTGATATGGATTAAATCATACAGTGGGTTGTTGGCTGCTCTGTGGCCCTGTGTGCAAGTAGTTGGGAAGAGAAAGCAGAGGACGATGTCTCTGGTGTGGAAGGAATGTGGACAGCAGGCCTATGAGAAGTCTGCTTCCCTTTCTTGCTGCCAAAAGGTACACTGTAAAAGAGTGAAGTGTGGACATAGGGGCACCGGAAACTCCCTTATACTGTGTCAGACCAATGGTCCATCCAGCTCAGTATTGTCTATCCCAGAGTTCTTCAACCTTGGGTCTACAAGGTTGTTGGACTACAATTCCCATCATCCCTGGTCACCTTAGATAATTGTTAGGGATGCTGGGAATTGTAGTCCAACAACAAATGGGTATCCAAGTTGAAGAACTCTATACTGACTGGCAGTGGCTCTGCAGGATTTCAGACAGGAGTGTTTCCCAGCCCTACCTAGAGAATTGAACTTGGGACCTTCTGCATGCAAAATATGCTCTACCACTGAACCATGGCCCTTCTCTGTGGGAGGGGTAAGTTTACCTCTCTGTTCTGAAGTCTATTCTTCAAGGGACTAGGATGCCTGTTGGACTGTTGTGCTGATGGCACAAACAAAGATTTTGAGATACATTACAGATGGGGAAAATGTTTTTAAATAAATGAATGAATGATATAGCTAGAATCATAGATGATGCCAGGCCAAATAATACAGCATCTTCTTTGCATGTGTTTTAGTGGCTTCTGCAATGAAAGAAGGACTTAAGTGTGGTTAACTGAAATTGTACAAAGCTTCTCTGTTTTCATAAATAATATATCTGATCTCTTTGTTGATGGTGGTAGACCAGGCTTCCTCAACCTCGGCCCTCCAAATGTTTTGAGACTACAATTCCCATCATCCCTGACCACTAGTCCTGCTAGCTAGGGATCATGGGAGTTGTAGGCCAAAAACATCTGCAGGGCCAAGGCTGAGGAAGCCTGGTATAGACTGTCTGCATTTTCATTGTAGTTGAAGATCAGTGTCATGATTTATTGGTTTTTCTATCACAGTGAAAATGTTCTAATGCAGCCCAAAATATTTGGAGGATTTTACTGTCTGGAAAAGCCTCTCACATTACCAACACACAAATCATAGTTGACTGTTGTAGAGTAGATTGCCAAATGCCAGAGGCTAAGCAGAAAAGACTGTGCATGATTGAATATAGGAGAGGGGGCATCTGGGTGTGGTAGCAGGAAGAGAGCGCCTTCAGTTGCATGCGCCAGCAGCTTCTGGTGATGCGTGTGTGCAATGATTCAGCAATACACAAAAGAAGAGACTCTAAATAACCCTAAATCCTGTTTCCCACAGCGGCCAAACAGATGCCTTCAGGAAGCCCACAAGCAGACATGAACACACAAGTCCTCCCTGATGGTTGCTTCCCAGCAACTTGTTCTCAGAGGAAAGCAGCTTCTAGCCATTGTAACAAGCCCCCAGAGAGCTATCATATGTAGCTGGTGGGATACGATCTTGCTGAAGGCAAAGTCCTGTGTATGTGTGAGTGCATGTTCCTTCTTTTGTGCACATAGGCAAGAACAGAAGGAAGATTTCTTTCCTAACTCATATAGTTAATCAGTTTATGCCCTGAAGGCCGAGATTCAATTAACTGCCTTATTTGTAGCTATGCAAGCTAAAAACATTATTAGCTATCATAAAATGATGGAGCCATAGTACTTGACCCTTTAGCCCCGAGTAATATTATGCATAAGAATACATTTATCTGTGGAAATTAGTTTAGTGTGGCGCCATGACCAAGAACATTTTTTAAAAAAGAAAAGAAAAGATTTAACACAAAGAAATAAATGAAATTGTGACTGCTGACACTAGTGTTGTAGGCCCTTCTAAATCATAAAACTTCAATAAAGCAGGAGTCGGGGTATTTGAGCTGCTAAGTTATGAAGACCCCAGCACCCTCATATCAGCGTCCCAAATTGGATGGGGAAATGAGGGCCAAGTAGTCAGTTATGAAGCAAGGGTCTCCTTGTTTTGAATATATATTATGTGTCACATATGGTAATTTATTTCTTAGTGGAAGGCTCAAAATGTTGACCTGATACTCTGGCCTCACAGGCCACACCCCCAACAGCTGCCAGTGGTGAAAGTGCTTCAGAGATTCCTTTCTCACAAGGAGACCCCTGACTCATGATGAACCCTCTGTTACTGAGTTGCATGATGACTCCCTAGGAGGGAGGAGGTCAACTCCCAGTAGACCTTATTTCTCTAGCTAATGGCAAAGGCCAGAGTGTCCTTTGCCTTGATTTTTGCAGTTCCAGAGCAACTACCAGTTGAAGCAGAGGTGTTTTTCCCCCTATGTAGGAATGGACTTGATGTACAGTATGTTTTGTGTGAAGCTGCAGCAGGGATTCTCTGGGCTTGTACATTAGACAGTTTGCTGGGCATTGTTAGGGCAGCCACTGCAAAACACCTTTGAGCACCATGTGTATAAACTGATGGCACTGAACAATATTTTACAGATTGGATGGTAACCATTCCCCCCCCCCAAAAAAAATAGGTGCCAGTACTCATCACAAAGTTGTTACAGTAAGCGCCACACTGCTTAACAACAACAACAACAACAACAAGAGGTTCAGGTACTGAGTACCTCCTGAAAGAAAAGCACCGGGTGTGTAAAAGCAGCACACCCAGCCACCCACCTGAAATTTTCTTAGAGAATCTGTTTTCTCAGAATAGTGAATGTGCCCATTTCATCAAATCATACAGAAGGCCTGGTTCTTTAGCTAAAGCAAGTACCCATCCATCTGAAACTCACACCTGTCCTATTAAACAAACCCCCACTTTATGTGAAATGGTACTTTGTACTTTGCAGTCTACTGAATCATTGTGGGGCTTTTGATCCACTGTGCCTATGTAAATACGCCCTCGCTTCATGCAAGCATCGCTGTATTTGCACAAGTATTAGCAGCAGCAGTTATTAATCTACTGGCCTTTCTTGAGCTTATGGAGAACTGAAGAAATGCCTCCCACCAGCTTGGAAACATCCCTACTTTTTCATATTGCTGACACATATTAGTATCTGTCTAATTGCAAAAGTCAAAACCACCACAGGTATGAAATTTACTGCATGTAATGCCCTAAGAGAGAATATTATGAAAATGATATACAGGTGGTACATGACACCAGTCAAGCTTGCAAAAATCTACCATGTGCCCGATAATAAATGTTGGAAATGTAAGGAAAATGAAGGTACTTTTTTTCACCTTTGGTGGACGTGCCCAAAGATTAAGGCTTTCTGGGAAATGATATATAATGAATTGAAAAAGGTATTTAAATATACCTTCTTGAAGAAACCAGAGGCCTTTCTCTTGGGCATAGTCGGCCAATTGGTGCCAAAGAGGGACAGAACTTTCTTTATGTATGCCACAACAGCAGCAAGAATTCTTATTGCAAAGTATTGGAAGACACAAGATCTACCCACCTTGGAAGAATGGCAGATGAAGGTGATGGACTATATGGAACTGGCGGAAATGACTGACAGAATCCAAGACCAGGGAGAAGAGTCGATGGAGGAAGATTGGAAAAAGTTTAAAGATTATTTACAGAAATATTGTAAAATTAATGAATGTTAGAATGATGTTGGATAGAAACTAAGTGGTCTTTAGCTGAAAGGTTACAAGGGAAGATGAAAAAAGGGTTTATTATGTAATATGTAAAAATCTAAAATTACAACATCTTTATGATTAATGATTAGGATACTAAAAGAGGGGAGGGATTTGCTGAACAAAATAATTGAACTGGAATACAAAAAAGGGAGGTGTGAGGAGGTCGGGGAAACAAGCAAATGAAAGATAAATATGGAAAGACTAATCTGTTTTTTAACTGTTTTTATTTTGTATTTTCATTTTCTATTTGTTTTCTCTTTTTTTCTTTCTTTTTTCGCTTATTTTTGTAATATGTTGAAACTTTAATAAATATCTTATATAAAAAAAAAAGTCAAAACCAAACAGGAACTTTTGTATTTTATTCGCTTGATCTGATTAAATTCCGATTTTGGAATGGTTCTGGTTCTGTTTCCACCACCGGTGGAAGACAAGAGCGAGTTCATTCATGCAGGTCTAAATGTTTGATTACTTCAGGGTTCTCCAGCCACAATGTGCTACTTCTGTCACTTTTTATGAAGATACTGATTAGCATTATAGAAACAACGCACATGTCCTCTAGGAACGTGCCCATAATCAGCACTGTCATTGCTGATCACATTAGAACTCAGTGCTCACAGTCCAGGCCACTCTTAGCATCTGGATTCCTCATCAGAGGCAGAGTAATTTGCAATTAGTCTCTGAACATTCCAGGTGAGAAGGCCAACCCTCGAGGGCTGTTTCTCCCAGAGAGAGAAAAGTTATTCAGCAAATTAGTCCAATACATTGATTTTTTTTCCTTTCCAAAGAAGTGTTAGAGACAAAATAAATGTCTTTCATTTCACCTGTGTGGGATGGCCATTAGAACTCTAGATAAAAACAATATTAATAAAAGGAGACAGTTATTACCAGTGCAGCTGCCAAAAGCAAGGAGGGGTAAACTCAATTCTGGCATAGTTCTTAAGAGGACACTTCCTCCGGGAGATCCCTGCATAGAAATAAGTAGAAATCTACGCACAGCTACAAGCAGGGATGTAGAAACGTGCCTTGTATTCTTCTGACATTCATTTGCCCTTTCACCTGGTATTTTCTGTTCCGCTGAAATTGCTTTATTTTACAAGAGTCTTTCTTCTTTTTCTTGTTCTCTGACCCATTTTGATGCATATATAATGTGTATCATAGAGCACAATGGCCATGCATATTTTAGCCATCAATAGATATTTACAAATTAATTACCTTCCCTGTGTGTTCCCTTTCAAAGTTAATGAATTTCTAGAGGGGTAGCTCTCTTAGTCCTTTGAAGCAAAAAGAACAACGGGTCTTAAAGAGAAAGTTAATAACCCCTCACAAATCCATCTCTGGCTGCAATTCTAATCATATCTACAGTACTCAGATACAAATCCCACTGAATTCAATTGGGCTTACTCCTAGGTAAGTGGGGTGTGGAATGCAGCCCATCTTGCTACCAAGATTTCACAGTTCAGTATAAATTTGTCATCCTGGCTCATTTCCCTCACTCATGGATTAGGGAGGTTAGTTCTTCCCTTTTTTGCTCTTTTTGTCCTGGATTATCTGAGTTACTCCTTCACTCCGTGTAATTCCAGGTAACCACATGTAAGTCCTTTTATTGTGACATTTTATTTCATAAATGTTTATTTTAATCAGAAAATGGTGCCTGTCGATGATTTGTGTGTCTGATTTTGTATGTCTGATTTATTTATTATTTATCACACATTTATTTGTCTGATTTATGTTTTCATGAACATATTTAAGTGAAGCCTAATAATTTAATTTCTAAATTTATCATTTGATTCTCTAGTTTGTGATTTTTAAAAATGCACCTGGCAATACTTTGACCTCCACATTTTGCATCATGTCTACCTGCACTACTTCACTGACTGTGTATTGCACTGCTTCATTATGCCATTTTAAAACAAAGTTTTTGAAACAAAGATTTAGGGGGTGGATAAATGGTAAAAATGAGCTGTCAAATCCAGTTTAACTTTAACTGAGGAGCACAGATAAAAGAACTATGGCTAATAAAAGAGGTAACTTCTTTCCATGAGAAAAGAATAACGAACAATGTATAGCTCTTGTTTTTAAAATTAACAGTAGGAATTGGATTAAGGCTACAATCCTAAAACCATTTACCTCGGAGTAAGAACCACTGACTCCAGTGGGGTTTACTTCTGAGTAGAGATGCATAGGATTGCAGCCTTAGAGCATAGATGCTGTCTTTCGCAATGAATAACCAATTCAGAGAAGCAACAACAATGGACAGCAGCATTTATACACCTATGAATATGTAAATTGCAAGCAATTATGATTCTATTTATGTATGGTGCCTGCATATTAAAAACAATGTTTTTGGAGAGAACGAAAGTGAAAAATATGGATAGCAAGTGTCTGTTCCATGATGGATTTAAAACAGGCAGATGGAAGGAAATCTGCTTGATGGTCCATTTTCAACAGATTCCTTTGACATCCTTTGTGAAAAGTGAATGTTGGCCTTTTGCATTTAGCTCCTCATTGTCAAGCAAAGTAAAATATGCAGCTTGCCTCCCCCCCCCCCCCGTGTTTAAAAATATATTCATGCTAGAGAAATTTCAAGACTGCATCCAAGGCTACAGTCTTATAGTTAGGAGTAAGCCCCACTGAACTCACCTTCTATTACTTCTTGTATTACTATTGTATACAATATGCATACTGAGCCCTTTGGCACATAAGATTCTCAGTGTTGGCAGAGATGCCTCCATCTTGAAATGAATAGTCAGACCTTATAAGTGAGAAGATTTTGTTGATATCAGAGTGACTTTGCTCACAGAATCAGGACCTCATGTGACTAGAGCAAGGGGTAAATACGATAAAATAAAATAAAATAAAATAAAATGAGGGGAAGATCCAAAAGCTTTCAGCATTTCTGACTTGGAATTTCAAGCTTACCTCTGTGATAATTTCTTATAAATATGGTCTGATACAGCTCATAACAATCTTAGAAGAACATTTCTGATATTGTGTGAACACAATACCAGACCGGTGTTATATGGTCTCGGTGGCCGCTCCAAGTCACCAGTCTAGCTGCCGCATTCAGGATTAGTTGTAGTTTCCGGGTCACCTTCAAAGGTGACATAGAGTGCATTGCAGTAGTCCAAGTGGGAGATAACTAGAGCATGCACCACTCTGGCAAGACAGTCTGCGGGCAGGTAGGGTCTCAGCCTGTGTACCAGATGGAGCTGATAAACAGCTGCCCTGGACACAGAACTGACCTGCACCTCAATGGACAGCTGTGAGTCCAAAATGTCTCCCAGGCTGCGCACCTGGTCCTTCAGGGGCACAGTTACCCCATTCAGGACCAGGGAGTCCTCCACACCCGCCTGCCTCCTGTCCCCCCAAAACAGTACTTCTGTCTTGTCAGGATTCACCCTCAATCTGTTAACCACCATCCATCCTCCAACCACTCACACAGGACCTTCACCGCCTTCACTGGTTCAGATTTGAAAGAGAGGTGGAGCTTTTCTTCGAATCCCTGAAGAAAAGTCCTGTGGAAGTGGTGCAATAACTAGATACAGGGTTGGATGCAGAGAAGAGTGAGCAGAACTCTGCTTCCACAATGGGACTTTCCTGGCTCCTCCCAAAAGCTGCTTTTGAGGGTTAAGAGGCCCCTTGGAACAGCATGGGAAGGGATGTGGGGAACTGCAGCAGGACAGGGGAAAGTAGAATTTGGATGGAGTGCCTTGTGCAAGAGGAAGCGCCTTCTTGCTCATGCAAGACAGCTTTGGATCCATGCCACAGCATGAGCTGTGAATGTGAACAACTGCGGTTTTGTATGTACAAATAAATTACTAATGGGAGAATTAGGTTTCCTTGTTGATTAGCATCAACCAGCTATAGATCCTCCAGCTATAGATCACACATCTCCCCTGCGCATCTTTCTTCAAGAAGCAAACACATTCACCTCTCCCTTGTCCCTGCTACTGCAAGGCATTCCTCTCTATGAGCAAGCTTCTCTCTTTGTTGGCCATATTCCTCTTGCAGGATCAGAGTTAGATGTGCTAAGGGGAAAGTTTGCTGTTGCCTTGCGGGTGGGGGAGAAGCAATAATGATGATTGTCTGTACCAAACCTGAGCATGAAAGTGAGAAATTGTGATTGCTGCAGTGGAAGGCCTGGTTTATTAACTTTCTTCTGGCTGCCCAGAAAGGGTGCCAGAGGGCAAGGGAAGTATACCGTATCAGTGTTTCTCTCAAGGCGCCTCACTTGCCTGAATCTGGGATTTATTCACAACAGGAGAAGCAAGGCAGCAAATAAGCCCATTCAGCTCAAGAATCTTATCCAGCAGAAGGGAGCTAGTAGATAAGGGAGCCCGCTGTCCAGTCCAATAAGAAGATAATGATAGCTAAGAAGACTTAGCTGGCTAAAAGTGAGCACTTAGCGCCAGGATCGCTTACGGATGTGCCGTGATCTTTTTCTTGGTCTTGGAAAACAAAACACAACAAGCCAAAGTAGACCATGGGGGTTTCTTCTGCTGGTGGGCTGGGTTCTTTTCTCTTTCTGTTATACTAATTAAAAAGCAACAGAGCACAGCAGCTGTCTGTGAAGGTGTCAAAACTAAGCTAGCCCTCTATTGTAAGATTGTAACTAGAATGCACCCGGCATGTATCTGGCAGAAGTTTTTGTACTCAACAGATTAGCCAAATGACTCCACTTGGCAAGCTGTGCTACAGGGGAAAGGAATCTGTGTCCTTTCCTCTCCTGTTCTGATGTCCATTTACCAAGACAGGCAGTAGCATGGTGCAGTGGTCAGGGTGTTAGAGCAGGACTTAGAGGACCAGGGTTCAAATCCTTACTCAGCCATGAATCTCAGTGGGCCAGTGTGACTCTTGGGCCAGTCACAGCCCTGAATCTGAACCTTCTTCAGAGGGTTTGGGGTGGGGCGATAAAATGGAGAGGGGGAGAAACATGCACGCCACCTTGAGTTCCTTGGAGGAAAGGCAGAATGTGAATGTAAAAGGAAATAAATAGGCAGCCTCATCATAATGTGCATATGTTCACTTGCTCAGCTAGTTATCTCAGTGGCTACTTTCAGTGTACATTGGACTACTTATGATGTTAGCCGCTCTGAGACCAGCCTCGGCTGGGGAGGGCGGGATACAAATAAAAATTTATTATTATTACTTACTTTTAAGTATTCAAAAAATGTGGGGCCATCACCCAAAAACCCTAGCCTTGGTATCTTGTATCAAGAGGCCTGGGAGCAGGAAGGAGAAGAAGAAGAAGAAGAAGAAGAAGAAGAAGAAGAGTTTGGATTTGATATTCCGCTTTATCGCTACCCTAAGGAGTCTCAAAGCGGCTAACATTCTCCTTTCCCTCCCCCACAACAAACACTCTGTGAGGTGAGTGGGGCTGAGAGACTTCAAAGAAGTGTGACTAGCCCAAGGTCACCCAGCAGCTGCATGTGGAGGAGCGGAGACGCGAACCCAGTTCCCCAGATTATTAATCTACCACTCTTAACCACTACACCACACTGGCATTGCAGTAGCTAATTGTAAATGCCGAGCAGATTCATTTAGGTACAGATGGTCTTTCGGATAATCTAATCTCAAACTGTTTTGATGCTTGAAGGCCCAAACCAGCCCTGTAAATTGGGCAAGGGAACAAGCAGCCAGCCAGTATAATCAGTGCAGAATTGGTGTGATATGTTCTGAATGTTTGACCCAGTGCTTTTGCTACCACATTTTCCCGCCAGTTAGAATCTCTGGACTGGCATTAGAGACAGGGGAGGATTCCAGTTTGCTCCACAATCTGGACTGAACCTGTTTGGTTTGCATCCCACACACCATGCTTGGATCAGAATATGGACTAGTTTGCTTGCCTATGAACTTTTCCAAGCACGGTTTAGATTTCTGCCTTTTTACCTCACACCTGGAGTGAAGACTCAGCACTTTAGCATTCAGTTAAAGGTAATATCTATTAAAATGTGAAAAAGAAGAACTAGGAAAGAGTGGCACATCACCATGTGCTGCTGTTGCTTCCAGGAGCCTTGTACTCAGACCTTTTGAATAAGCATGGTAAGTCCTGTGCTTTCCAGCTGCTGCATGTGACTAGAAGCAGCTTAAGAACAAGGACAGAAAGACAGAATCATGAAAGCCCTCGGATCACATCTGAGCATAGCTGTCAACTTACAGATTTGAAAATAAGGGACCAGCAGCCTTGAAAATAAGGGACCAGCAGCCAAAATAAGGGACCTGCAGCCTCACCTGTTCCAGGCACTCCAGTCTTCCTGCCCTCCTGCAGTCTGGTCAAACTCATGCTGGTAGCTTCGAGAACACCGTCCAAGCAACTTTGTAACCAGAGGTTCAACTGAATAGAATCTGAATCACATGCACCACAAGGCCTATGCAGCCTCAACTTAAGATGGCTCCCCGGCCTGGCTTTGCACTGCAAAGTTTGCAGCAGCACGTGCAACAAAATGGCGTCCAGCATTCAAAAACCCCCTCAGCTTCATTAACTAGCCACACACAAGGCATGCAAGCTCCACCCCCCCAGTCGTTCTTAGACTTCTTATTGGGTGAGCAACACAGCCAAGCAACACAGTTGGAGCCTCCCTCCTCCCTGGCCGGCAGGGAGGGAGGGAGAGGAGCTGCTTCCTTTGAAATTTAAGGGACATTTAAGGGACATCCATCAATAAGGGACAGCAGCGGGACATGGCGCTGAAATAAGGGACTGTCCCTTCAAATAAGGGACACTTGACAGCTATGCATTTGAGCACTTCTAACTCAAGTGATTTGAAAGCATGCAGTTTTTCCCCCTAAGAAAAAGTATTGGCATAGATTTGCCAGTCCACTTGTGTGTGTGCAAGGGATGCAGACTGGATCAACACATCCATTCCTAAGTGCCATTAAAGGAGGACCCACAGAGATCATTTTAGTAACCCAGCCTGGATGCAGTCAGGGTATGTTATATGGGTGCTATGCATCAGCCTACCAAGTAGCAAAGATTTTTTTGAATAACAACCCCCCCCCCCCTATATACCAGGTACAGAGATCTTCACTAAAATGATCACATGTGGGGAAATGATTGGTTATGCCTGAATCATTGAGAAATCTGCACTGACTGTTTTTTGCTCCTGACCATCGTTCTAGTTATCTCCACCACCGCCACATGGTGTCATGAAATCAAATGGGTTTCTGGCCTCTTCACAAGGACTCTTGCAGCTTCCTGTCTGCTGCCATCTGCTGTTCATCGTTCATGCCCAAATTCATTTTCTCTACACTGTTTGTATCACCTAAGGCAGGCTCCAAATTCATTAAAAAACAGCAACTCCGTTTCTCTATTCATTCTTTCTAATAAAGATCTGCCTTATGTACTGTGTCAAGTCAATGGTCCTCTAGCTGTAAAAGACCAGCCCAGAATGGAAATATAGTTTCTCTAGGTCTCTGTAGAGAACCCTGATGCTGGGCAAGATTGAGGGCACAAAGAGAAGGGGACGACAGAGGACGAGATGGTTGGACAGTTTTCTTGAAGCTACGAACATGAGTTTGACCAAACTGCGGGAGGCAGTGGAAGACAGGAGTGCCTGGTGTGCTCTGGTCCATGGGTCCACAAAGAGTCAGACACGACTAACCGACTAAACAACAAAAGGTCTCTGTAGAGGTATTCCTGCCATGATAAGATATGGTCTCCAAGGAGGTTGAGGCAAACCCAACTCCTGGTATGCAGAGCATGTGCCTGATCACTGAGTTACAGCTCATACTTATACAGATTGTCTCATTCCTGACTAGATATAGTATTGAGAAGGTGATTCATGCTGAACTGCTTATTTTGAACTGAGTGTCTTGGCAGTGTGATTTACTGTATTAAGAGTAGAAGAAATGAAAAGGAGAAAGTAATTAATTATTATTTCCTGAATACCATTCCATCCTGTCCCCTCCCCTTGTGTGTGTGTGTGGTTTTTTTTTTAAAACGCCACCCCCCCCCAGATGACTGATGCTGCTACAGAAACATTGTGTACCTATCTAATCACTTATTACAGCTGATGAAATAAAAGCCGTTGTCCCATGGCCCCGTGCAAATTATTCTTGTTAATTATTTTTTAATTATCCTTCCATCACGGCTGTTGGTGCTAGTCATAATTTCCACATCAGTGGAGACAGACGTGGCATCTGCAAATAATCTTCCTAAGGAAGGGCTTCCATTGTGGAAGGGAACAAGAGGTGTGTTCCTTGCCGGTTGTATTACCAGAGCTCTTTCAGAAGGTGATTCTCTGAACTTGATGCCATTAATTGTTCCTTATTGGTGTGTGTGTGCGCACGTGTGTGCGAGCACACTCACCAAAAGAGCCTAATTAGTTCAGGTTTCAGATAACCCGTTTAATGTCTCTGTATTGCCAGAATGCCTAACGGCATATTAATCAGGCCCGTGTTCAAACAGATGGGTAGGTTGCATATTACTCAGGTCCAAACAATGACAAATGCATCCCTGTGGCATATGTGGAGATTATACACTGTGGTAGCTCCTGGTGAGTGGAAAGAAAAGGATCTTTTGAGCCATAACAGAGAGACACTGGAAAATGTTCTCTTTCTACTTCAGAACCGTTAATGGGGGGGAAATGTAATGGGTATTTGGGGAACACAGCTCCTGTCACCATCTAATTTAAGGCCTGGCAAATGATCCTACTGGGAGGGGTGAAGGAACAGCAATAAATGTGGCATCCAGAGAAGGAAATGAAAATTATTAAACGTCTCTGCCTGTGGGTGAAGAATCTGTGAAACAAAATATTCTCAGCATGGGTGACAAAAAGTAAATTATGTAGCAGGCGGGTTGCTGGGTTCACAGTTCACAGTGTACATTTTAATTGATAAACTCGGCTCATATTTAGTAGCAAATTATCTGTAAACATACTAATTTGTTAGTTATCCAGCATGATTTGACAAATGTTATGTTCAAATGTGTTGACCCGTGCATTGCTTGATATCTTCTTTATGGGCTAAAAAACAAACAATTGTAATGGTTTTTAAAAGTAATTCTTAGTTTATTTGAAATGTCCATATTTTTGGCACACGACTTTCCCTAAACATTTCCATGACTCTAACCCTCCCTTCTTTTCTGGCATACAACTGCATGGCTTGCATAGTTTGGTCTGAGCAGTAGGGGATTCTTCAGTGCTGCCGGTTACACAAAATGCTTGATGTTTTTGGTACTGAGCATCACCTGCCTTTGCTACAGGTAGATTAATAAATGCTGAACCTGATTAACTATAAGAACAAGCTTTATTGTAGATTGTTATAGTACTTTATTTGCAAAAAGGGCTCCTGAGGTATGCTGAAGTTTGCAGATGAAAAGTTTCCCCTCCCTTCCAACTCTATTGTTCTTTGTGGAAGCCAGTTGGGTCCTTGTGATGTAGAATCATAGCTTCAGTCACATGGTAGCTTCAGTTGCATAGACTCCATGGGATTATTGCAGTGAATGGAAAAATCTGATCCACCACTAACAACCAAGAATGTGGTGAAGCTGGCATTTAAAACAGAATAGGATGGCATACCATGCCACATCAATATTGCCTAAATATAATGTCTGTTAAGGCATGACACTTAAAAGCTGTAATTTCCCAGATTTTTGAAGCTTGAGTGAACATGGAAAGCCCTTAATGCGACATGTTAAACTGATTTTTTTATTTTTTATTTTTGTTAATTGAATTATAAGCCGAAAGGCAAAACCTGTGTCTCAGATTGATTTATGTGCGGTGTGTAGTTAATGAAAACTGTATAAATGAATGAATAAATGTATGAAGGCTGACAACTCAGTCCTGTCTGTGCATGATAGCTGAGCTGTGGGCCACAGATGTTAACATCCATCCTTGCAGCTAGTTTTGCATCCCAAGCCTCCAAAGGAAGACTCACAAGGTTTTCCCCATGCCTTATTATTACTGGTACACTATACTATTATTAGTGTGTATTATGAAAGTTCAGAGAATAGTTTTGTTGGTCTCACTGGCTCTCTATAAGAC